CGGCGGTTGGCCGGGTTTGGGGCTGCGGGTGCAGGGCCTCGCTTCAGGCCGCTGAGCTGGCCCCGCTGCCGGGCGTTGGGGCGGGCGAGGAGGAGGCGAAGCGGCGCCTGCGGCACCGGAGGCGGCCCAGCCGCCTCCCCTGTGAGCGCCGCAGCCGTGGTGCGGCTTCGTAAGGGAGTGCCTGCAGTAATGTCACCTGCGAAGGTGGGACCCTCCTCTGAAATCCTCCCCCACGGGGAGCGAAGGCCTTGGTTTGTGTTGTGTTTTGGTGTTTGGGGTTGTGTTTTGTTTTTCTTTTATTTTGTAACACAGCCAGCTTTCAGTAAAGTGCAAAATCAAGACTTGAATTCACATGAAATAAAAGCAGTTAAATGAAAATCCCCAAGCTTGGAGACAACAAAAAGTCTTCTTAAATATAGGAGAGGAGGGAAGTAGAGTTGCTTTTCAGTTGTCAGATGCTCCATATGAAAATATTTATGAGGAAGCCCAGTGCTGTCGGGATGCATGTGTATGTGACAACCATCATATGGAGCTTGTCAGAGGCTGGAAGTCTCTCTTCCAGGCGCAAAAAACATGTCACCAAGTTCTGATGCACCTTTATTAAACTCCAGATGGGATAGAAACCTACGTCGAGTAAATGATAAACCTTTCAAAATTACATGTCGCTCAGGCATACCCAATACTATTAAAAATGGAATACTGGGAACAGTAAAAAGTAGGAAAGCTGTATTGTGATAGAAAAAAGTCCAGTGAAGACTGAGCTTTTTGGAGGGTGTTCACCTTGAAATCAGGCCTGAAAATGGAAAAGTATTTGTCTTCTTTCTGGAATTTCCTTCATTAGAATACACTTTCTCCAAGTAATACAAGTGATGCTAAGACTGGGGGAAAATAACTACAAACGTGCTGACAGTAAAGGAATTTGAATTAACATGATTTTTTTTTTAAATCCATGTATTTAGAGTATCAAACAGTATAGGTAGAACATTTTTTAAGGTGGAGGTCAGATAGTAAAACCTATAAAAGGTTAAAATGGCAATGATAAGTAATTTGCAACATCATGAAACTTTTAAGTCACATAAAACTGATGGACTTTTTTTGTAAAGTTTTTTCTGTTTCTTTTATCCTTGAGACACAAGGAAGTATCACAAATGTTTGAAAAAAGAAAAAAGCATTACCTTAATTTTTTTTGAATCACTGCTCTTCTTGTGGGTTAAATTTGTGTTGGATTGTTCTTGACACTGACATCTCCTTTAAAAAAACTCTTTGTTTGAACAACTGACCAACTGGTTTGTCTCAAAATGGATTCTTGTTTCACATTGGCCATTTCAGAATTACTCCTGTTCAAACAGTGAGTCCACCTGAAATATACGCAACTGTTTCCCATGTTCCTATAATTAAAATAACTTAGATTCAGTAGCATTTAAGAATCATTACAGTTGCCTGCTTTTTTAAGATTCTTTTTTTTTTTAGTTTCTTAGTCACTTGCCATTCCCTCAGCAACTTTATGGGAGAGACGTGTTGGCTGACCATTTCGCACCCTTCAGAGAACTACAGAGCAAAATAATTCCGTAAAGCTTTATAACATAGGCGAAGTTGCGAGCTAGACCTAATTCTTTATCATGAGCAAAATGGTGTATTACAGAATGACACTGCAAAATACATGAACTGTACCTGAGTTATGAAATGAAATTTGCAAATTCTATGCTTGCTCTATTTGGAACTGTTCCCTTGTAACAGGAAGTTTCTGAACATCAGATTATGTTTCCTTTCTGAAGAATTACTAAATGAAAACCTTGCTATGATGTCATATGTCAGGCTGCGTTAAACTAATGCTTGCCACGTGAACTTGAAAAAATAGGTGCGGTCTTTTCCATTTAGTATTTTTTTGCTTACAGATGGGGCTTGTGTCAATCACATGACTAAAATTTTTTTCTCTTCATCACAAAAAGACCAAGACTATATACCCAAAGTAGTGATGTTCCTAATGAAACTTTGTGTTTGCATTAACAGAAAAAAAGTATTCCAAATGTCATTGGCTGAATAAACAAATTCAAGAGGAAAGTCATAGAATCATAGAATCATTAAGGTTGGAAAAGACCTCTGAGATCATGGAGTCCAACTGTCAACCCAACGCCACCATGCCCACTAAACCATGTCCCTAAGCGCCGCATCTACACGTCTTTTAAATACCTCCAGGGATGGGGACTCAACCACTTC